TACATGGAGATTATTCATATCCCCCTTATGTATTATACATGGAGATCATATCCCCCCCCCCCCTTATGTATTATAATGGAGATCATATCCCCCCTTATGTATTATACATGGTTGATCATATCCCCCCTTATGTATTATACATGGAGATTTAATATCCCCCTTATTTTTTATACATGGAGATCATATCCCCCTTATGTTTTGATTATACATTGGATCATATCCCCCTTAGTGTTATTATACATGGAGATCATATCCCCCCTTATGTATTTACATGGAGATTCATATCCCCCCCTTATGTATTATACATGGTGATCATCATCCCCTTATGTATTAATTACATGGACATTATAGATTGTTATAATGGAACTATCCCCCCTTATAATATATACAAATATTCTCCCCCTTTATTATATACATGGAGATCATATCTTATATCTATTTATAATAAATCATCCTTAGTATTATTACATGGGTATCCGGGGACCTGATTCTTTTAAAATATTTAATTATGCACTTGGTCTGAAACTTTTAAACTTATTTTCCTCCTGAATATAGAATTGTTCTTTATTCTATAGAGTTCCACTTCTTCCCTCTAAAGCAATGTGTATTGATCTCCCTGGGATTGGGGGATCTCCAGAAATCAGACAGATCTGTTGGTGGGGAGTTGACGGGAAATCAGCTGACATTTGTTTCTTTCATCCTTCCGTAGTCCAGACCTTCCTGGGAAATGTTATTGTGCTAAAAATTGCTCCAGAGACTTCCAGGAACTCAAGAAATGAGTCAAGTCAGTGCGGGTGGTGATGTGTCCCCCATACATTGTAATGATCAGGAAGGGGAGCGCTCCGGAGGATGGAGGAAATAGTATCTATTCATGTAACTTCATTTATCCTCTACATTTCCTGACATGACAAAGGAAGAGAAATGGGTGCTAATAGACTGCAGGAGATCTGCTGAAAAAAGGGGAATGAGTGCTAATAGGTCTGCTAGGACAAAGAAATGGCATAGATCTGCTGCAACAACAAAAGGGAAAAAAGCAGTAATAAGCTGCAGGGGATCTGATAAGAAAAAAGAAGGGGGATGAAAAGAATCAGATCTCCTACAGCTTATTAGTCATCCCCTCCTTTTTTTTCAGCAGATCTCCTGCACCCTATTACCATCTATTTCCTCTACTGAGAAGAAAATGGTGGTGGAAATATTTTTACTTTATTTTATTTTTCTTATGAAGTTGTGTGCTCATGTACTAACCACCAGAACATTAAAACCGCCCCCCCCCCCCCCCCCCCCCCGAGCTTTATGACAACCCACCAGAACATCATAACCACCAAAAGAAGATCATGACCACCTACCAGAACACTATGATCGCCCCTCATATTGAGTAGGTTCCCTCTTCTGCTGCCATCAAGGCCTGGACTCCACCAGACAAACCATCACATTGCCCCACCGACTTGTCTTCCTCCCATGCTGCATCCCGGTGTCATCTCTTCCCCAGGTAAGTGATCTCACACCTCTCTTCCCCAGGTAAGTGACGCTCGCACCTCTCTTCCCCAGGTAAGTGACCTCACACCTCTCTTCCCCAGGTAAGTGACGCTCGCACCTCTCTTCCCCAGGTAAGTGACATTTGCAACTCTCTTCCCCAGGTAAGTGACCTCACACCTCTCTTCCCCAGGTAAGTGGCGCTCGCACCTCTCTTCCCCAGGTAAGTGACGCTCGCACCTCTCTTCCCCAGGTAAGTGACGCTCGCACCTCTCTTCCCCAGGTAAGTGACGTTTGCAACTCTCTTCCCCAGGTAAGTGACGCTCGCACCTCTCTTCCCCAGGTAAGTGACGTTTGCAACTCTCTTCCCCAGGTAAGTGGCGTTCGCACCTCTCTTCCCCAGGTAAGTGACGCTCGCACCTCTCTTCCCCAGGTAAGTGACGCTCGCATCTCTCTTCCCCAGGTAAGTGACGCTCACACCTCTCTTCCCCAGGTAAGTGACGCTCGCACCTCTCTTCCCGAGGTAAGTGACACTCACACCTCTCTTCCCCAGGTAAGTGACGCTCACACCTCTCTTCCCCAGGTAAGTGACGCTCACACCTCTCTTCCCCAGGTAAGTGACGCTCACACCTCTCTTCCCCAGGTAAGTGACGCTCACACCTCTCTCTTCCCCAGGTAAGTAATGCTCACACCTCTCTTCCCCAGGTAAGTGACCTCACACCTCTCTTCCCCAGGTAAGTGACGCTCGCCCCTCTCTTCCCCAGGTAAGTGACGCTTGCACCTCTCTTCCCCAGGTAAGTGACGCTCACACCTCACCATCCACATAATGGAAAAGAAAACATCATTCATCAGGCCAGGCAACCTCCTTCCATGGCTCCATGGTCCAGTTCTGGTGCTCATGTGCTCATTTTAGGTGCTTTTGGCTGTAAACACAGGTCAGCATGGGCACCCTGAATGCTCGTCATCTAAAGTTGATCCAGGGAATATCCGATTGCCTCTCGGGGGATCAGGAAGGAATTTTTTCCCCTGCAGGAGCATATGGGATCGTGCTTTGCTGGGGGTTTTTTTTTGCCTTCCTCTGGATCAACTGTGGGTGTAGGATTATAACTTTTTTTTAATGGTTGAACTGGATGGACTTTTGTCTTTGTTCAGCCAGACTAACTATGTAACAGCCCTATACACCACAAATTGTGATCCTTTTTTTTTGCTTTCAACACATCAAGTTCACACAAACAAAATGTTTACCTACCGCCTAATATATCCCCCTACTTTCAGATATCATTGTAATGAGATAATCAGTGTTATTCACTTCACCTGTCAGTGGTCAGAATGTTATGGATGATTGGTATACAGTCCATACACACACAGCACAAGGCCGGGGTCACACTATGAGAGGTTTTTTGGGGCTGCAGTTCCTCTGAGCTCCACAAGATGGTGATCTCACTTCTACCCAGACAGGAAGTCTCTATGGAAGACAGGAAGTGATGTCAGGTATAAATAAAAAGTCCCAGGTGAGACGTGAGTCCTGAAGAAATAAAAAGTAGACGTTGGTGGAAGTGGCAGCAGAGGAGGTAATAAGATGTTATTTCCTATTTATACCCAGTAACCCCCGTCATGTCCGTCCTCTTCCTTCCATAGTCACGTCCGTCCTCTTCCTCCACAGTCGCGTCCGTCCTCTTCTTCCACAGTCGCGTCCGTCCTCTTCCTCCGTAGTCGCGTCCGTCCTCTTCCTCCGTAGTCGCGTCCGTCCTCTTCCTCCGTAGTCGCGTCCGTCCTCTTCCTCCGTAGTCCCGTCCGTCCTCTTCCTCCGTAGTCCCGTCCGTCCTCTTCCTCCGTAGTCCCGTCCGTCCTCTTCCTCCGTAGTCCCGTCCGTCCTCTTCCTCCGTAGTCATGTCCGTCCTCTTCCTCCATAGTCACTGTGACATCTTTTATCTCCAGCAGATGATGATACACACATATATAATGTGGGAACCCAGATTAACCCCTTCAGGGGCACAACATTCCCCCACTTCCGGGGCCGGAACATTCTCCTCATTGTGGAGATAAATTCTAGTAATATGGTCCTCTAAACAAACAGCACTGACAATAAATAGACAAGACAAGGACCATCCTGACCATACATGGCCTACAAAGGGCAATGATGACACTACACAGGCAGCCAATGGGCAATCATTACACTATGCAGCCAACACAATGATGGAGTGCCGGGGTCAGGAGTATGGAGCATAGAGCCCCTTACATTGCTGCTCAGGAGGAAGGAAACATTCCCCAGCCGGCCATGAAGAATATGTTCCATCATTGGTGTCAGAGGGAGGGAAATACTGAGGGGTCTGAGGGAAGTAGAGGAGAGCTGAGCGGATGTGAGAGTTTAGTAAAGTAAAAAGACTTTAAGGGCCTCAGAAGGGGTATTGTAGCTGAAGAACTCTGAGACCCTTGAGGAAGTAGTCAGACTGCAGGGCTCTGAGGGAATAGGGGGATGGGGGGCTGAGGGGGACTCTGAGAAATAGAGGGCTGTCTCTGGGTCTATAATGGCCCTCCCATCCCACCTGCCGTTATTTTTCAGACCTCACAGAACTTGCAAACTTAACCATCTTATTGACTGATCAAGTGATATGTTCTGGAATATCAAGTAAGATGAAGAAGGGCATTCCTTCACTCGTTGGTGAGCACTTGTTCTTAGAGCACTTCTATTTCAGCTGTAAACCAGTTTAGAAACAAAACAAACCCAACAGAGAAGAAGGAAATTCTGATATGACAGGCCAAGAGGGTTATGGGTCCTCCAAGATGTAACAAACCCTAAGTAGTCCAAACTAAATGTGTTCCCATGGGGGCAGTAGTCCTTAAATGTCCAGCAACCCTCCTATTCCCCCCTCACATCCACATCCTATTATTGTGTGACCAATACCATCCAAATCATTCTTACTTTCATTTCCCAAAGTTATCCGTCTATAAGGAGACCTGTATAGATCACATGATGGCACCAATGAGGATGGAGGAGGACCAGAGTCACATGACTGAGAAGATACTAAACCTCAGCCTGGAGATCATCTACCTGCTGACTGGAGAGGTAAGGAGAATTCTGGGAGGTCACATGACATCACTCTTATCTCTATTAATAAAACACAGACCTGACCGGAGAGGTGAGGAGAATTCTGGGAGGTCACATGACATCACTCTTATCTCTATTAATAAAACACAGACCTGACCGGAGAGGTGAGGAGGATTCTGGGATTCTAACATGATATTCCTATTGGTTCCTCAATACAGAGATTTCCTCTTCTGAAGTCAGGTGATCATATGACCATCACAGTGCCTCCAGGTGACTCCCTAAAACCTGAGAGACACAACATGCAGAAGATTCTAGAAGTCACCAAGAAGATGATGGAGCTGCTGACAGGAGAGGTGAGCGGTGCCGGGAATTCTGGGACATTCTCCAGTAACAGACAAGGGATGTGTCTGGATGGTGACTGTATCATTGTGTGTGTCAGGTTCCTATAAGGTGTCAGGGTGTCACTGTCTATTTCTCCATGGAGGAGTGGGAGTATTTAGAAGGACACAAGGATCTCTACAAGGACGTCATGATGGACAATCAGCCGCCCCTCACATCACCGGGTAAGAGGAGACTTTATTGTAAAGGAGAGAGCAGTACGGAGGATCCACCTAGATCCCCCATCATCTGATAAACACATAGAAACAATGGATTCAGTCAGTGTGTGTGTTTCCTACAGATGGATCCAGTCATGGGAACCCACCAGAGAGATGTCCCCGTCCTCTGTATTCCTGGGATTCCACACAGGAAGGTCACACCATCCCTCACCATCATCAGGTAGGTGAGGAACAATCACTGATAGTATCATTAGGATCTGTACATTATCTGCATTGTTACCATTGATGTCATTTTATTATATATTCAGAGTGGAAACCTGAGAGATCCTAAAGTTGAGGTTAAAGAAGAAATAAAAGAGGAGGAGGATGAGGATGGGCTGATGGAGGAGTCAGAGGTTCTAAAAGAACACAAAGATCTGTACCAGGACACCATAGTGGAGTCATCCAGCTACAGAAACCCACCAGAGAGATGTCCCCGTCCTCTGTATTCCCCAGATTCCACACAGGAAGGTCACACCATCCCTCACCATTACAAGGTTGGTTGCATCTAGAACATGAATTTGTCAAGGTGATGTGTTGATTGATTTATTAAAAATTGTGATGTCACAATATTGAAGCTCATATTTTACAGATGATATTTTCTCTCACTCTCTTGGTTTAGGGTGAAGATCTGATAGATATAAAAGTTGATGTTAAAAGCAGAAGAAGAAGAGGCGTATGTGAGGAATGATCAGCAGTCTATGGAGGAGGATGGAATAACGGGGACATTTATAGAGGAGGACACTCCTACAGAGATCAGCACAGGTGGGTCATGAACACTAAATCCATTCCTCCACCCATACTGCTCACTGATTGGTCCAGAGTAGGGCGGGGACTGGGTGATATCAGCCTGTAATCCCCTGGTCACTTTCCTGAGCTGTGTTCCCCGTCCTGTATTCCTGGATTTCTCTCGGATAATCTTCCTTCTCTGTGCTGCAGACACAATTTATGTATCTAGACTGGATTTATGGAGGTTCTGGGAATCATCTGGCAGCAAAATGTTGATTTTCACCATAGTCTTTGCTCAACCTAGGCACTTGGGGCATGTGATTTGGGTCTTCTTCCCCATGCCCGGGTCTAGCAGGATCTCTGACAGAACGTTTCTCCCAGGGTTCCTTGCTCTGTGGTCTGCTGGCTGTGCCGGGTGGAGGGATATGTCTGTATAGTCTCAGACCCAAGTCACTGAGTGCAGTCTCAGGAGATGGGAGGCAGCGGTGTGGGACCTCTGCAACTTGTCTTAGGTAACCATTTAAATTGTCACTGAGTCCTGGCCTCTGCACTATATAATTTATATTATACATTATGTAGTCCTGACCCTTTTATTACATTATTATACTATATAGTCCTTACTGTTGTATTCTATATAAAAAGGTGTGCATTACATTGACCTTACTTCTTTTGCAACCATTTTCTACCAGCTGGACATTTTATATCAGATGATGTGATTGGAGCACAGACTTTTACATGGTGATAATAATGTGATAACATCCTCCAACTTTGGACCCTTAAACAGAAAGTGATAATGAGGGAGGAGTCAATACCCCAATGATGGTGGTCTTCAGGATCAGTCTAGTCTTCATCTTGGTTGTTCTCCCCCCCATCCTCACTCTCTGACCTCTGGTTGGGGCTCAGCCCTGCTGTTCTTCATGACTAAATCATGGAGTAAATAAGGAAATGCAGTACTTCTTGTGTTGGGAAGATGGCGATGAGTGATAGAGGGGGTGGGGACCCTCGTCCTATAATCCCCTCATCACTGTCCCTCCTATAAAAGACAGTTCTGGTTGTTTCCTCACTCTCTAAGGTCCATGAATAAAGAAATGACCTGGTAGGAGATCAGAGGAGCCATTTCTTAGTTCCCTTGAGGGTGGAATTGTAAGCTCCTTAGAGACCAAGCTGCCTGATGTGGGCGGAGTCCTGGTTAGGGGGAACCAATCAGCTCCTGTCTAGTAATCCTCTTTGTCTTTGTATTTTAGTCCATGGCCGGGAGATGAGGAAAACCTCCGAGGATTGTCTCACTTTGTCTCCAGACTGGAAAGTAGAAGATGAGGACATCACACAGTATAGTCCAGGAGAAAACCCGGCTCCCTCCATGTCCATCCGGCACCACCCAGTGTAGATGGACCATCGGATTCCTCGTATCCTGAGGACCCTCAGACTGTGCAGGACCGGGCCGGCCTTCCAACAGGGAAGAGCTTCTCCTGTACTGAATGCGGGAAGAATTTTCGTTTTAAATGTCGTCTTAATGTGCATAAAAGATCTCACACAGGGGAAAAACCGTATTCCTGCCCTGAGTGTGGGAAATGTTTTGTACAAAAAACAGATCTTGTTACACATCAATGGTCTCACATGGGGAAAAAGCCGTATTCCTGTCACAATTGTGGGAAATGTTTTTCAGTGAAGTCCAGTCTTTACAGCCATCAGAGATTGCACACGGGGGAAAAGCCATATTCCTGTTCTGAGTGCGGGAAGTGTTTTGTACATAAATCAGAACTTGTCAAACATCAAAGGTCTCACACGGGGGAAAAGCCGTATTCTTGTCCTGAGTGCGGGAAATGTTTTTCACAGAAGTGCCATCTTAACAAACACCAGAGATCTCACACAGGAGAGAAGCCGTATTCCTGTCGTGAGTGCGGGAAATTTTTTTCACAAACATCTGGTCTATACAGACATCAAAGATCTCACTCGGGAGAGAAGCCGTATTCCTGTCCTGAATGCGGGAAATGTTTTTCACAGATGTCTAGTCTTTACAGACATCAGAGATTGCACACAGGGAGAAGCCACTTTCCTGTCCTGAGTGAGGGAAATGTTCCTCACTGAAGTCCTGTCTTCCTGTACATCAGGGGTCCCACACAACCCTGGAGGTGTATTAGTGCCTTGAGTGCGGGAAATGTCTTCTAGATGAATGTTGCTGGACATCCCAGCTCTCATGTGGGGAAGAAGCACACTCTGAAATACACCTCAGATATACTCCATGGCTGATCTTCATCATGGAAGAAACAGTTCATAAGGAGATCAGAGCTCATCAAAGACATGGATGAAGTGTGGGACCAGGTTGGCCATTGATAGCAGGAGAAAAATAAATGGAGTCATTACCTTTCATTGTTCATTTTTGGTGTAATCTTTCACAAATTCTCAGAGGTCCTTTTTTAAAAAAAATTAGTGGAATAAATATGACACACATTTTCCCAGTCATGACAAATAATGGCCGTATTTTATTTGATATAGAGATTTCCTACGATAATCTAGTGGCAATAATGAGGCACCGTAGTAATATTACCACATTATGGACACTAGATGGCGCTACACTCTGGGCTGCTTGAGAACTTCATCATGAAATTGGTGCTCAGGGAGACTTTTTGCACCAATTGGGAGGTGGCGGGACTCTTTTTCTACCCTCCATCTCAGAACACTGGGACGTGTACATGCATGTTCAGTATGGCCGGGGGCAGGGGAGAACTCATGGGGCCCCCGGGCAATAGGGGATCATGGGGCCCCTGTGTCCTTGCCCAAACTCAAAAAAGCCTATGAAAAAGGTACCAGGGGCATCTCATGGGGCCCCCTACTGACCCCGGGCCCTCGGGCAAGCCCCGAGTTTCCAAATGATCAGTCCACCTCTGGCCGGGAGATATCAGGAGTGTGGCGGTTCCTGTACCTGTGTCCATGTTGGGTGGCACAGCCATGCTTTCAAAGAATTCATAGAGCCTCCAAGTGCTGGAAGCATCTAGCAAAGTTCTTCCTCACAGACACACCCCAGACATGCATAGTTGCAGGCTGGAAGACTCCTATTGGTAGACACAATGACTGGTCACAAAAGGTACCTGGGGGTAACACATGCATACTCCTTCCCAATGAGGGCAGTGATGGGCATTGACAGGCTGGGTGAGTGATCACCTGGGGTAACCAGTGTCCATGCAGCTGACCAGGATCGCTGTATATCACTAGATGGGTAAGCAGGACCTATGTCTACTAGACAGCCGAGAAGTGAGGTCAATGTCTCCTTTTGGGGCTCTGACTCTGCTCACCTATTGGCTATATGTGATACTTCTGAGGCACCTCCTTTCTTCCATTTTCTGTGTGATTATGCAAGAACCTGCATTTTATTGGCTGAGGGACAGCATCGTTTCTGGGATTGGTACCAGTAGGACTGTTTAGGTCACACACACAGGTGTTCTCCTTCCCTTCCCCCCTCCTTTTTATGGGGGGGTTCATGACAGAAGAAGTAACAGATGCAAATGACAGATGAGCAAGTAGAAGTCTCTCCCTCCAAGGACTCTGCAGAAGAGAGACCCCAGGGTAAGTGTTTTTTTTTGCAAAACCCTAGAACCTTTGGGAGTCCTTTCACAGAATTTAAACTTGCAGCTTCCTGAGTCCTCTTCTCAGGAGGCTTCAGGGCTTGGATCATGGTAGATGACACAAGATCCTTAGTTGTCCTTATATATCCTCACCATATGGATGTCTAGTACACGGACTGGGCTTACCCCCCAAGAAGTGTTCTCTCCGCTGCAGAGATTCACCTGGCAATGCGCCACGGACATTAAGTTCACTCAGGGAGGGTGTATGCTTCCAGTAGAGCCGGCAACCTCTTCTCAACCAGAAATTATTAAACCCAGAAATTATCAGGAAGAGGGGACACTCTGGTTTCTGCAGGGAGTTGGGCAAGCTCACAAGCCTGCTGCTCCTTCACCAAGATGTTTCCTTTGCTGCTCTAAAGCTGTGGGCTTTTCACTGCAGTCCCCAGTTCCATTAGGAGTACTGGGCATCTACACAATCTAAATGAGGGTCTTAACTTGGGTGAAGTAGGACTTTTACAGGCCTTTTGCGAGTTTTGGAAAGGGGTGATAGCAGATAGGTGGGTTCGCAGCATGGTGGCTTGTGACTATGAGATAGGAATTCAGAGCCTTTCCCCTCCTCACTTCATGTTTTCGTCTTGATTTTGCTAAACAGATTTGATCCTTCACAAACTTGTGATCCTCCTTTTGTTTTGGGGAGTGATTTTACGTATATCCTCAAACTTTCTATGGTTACAAGACCAGACGGTGATGTTCATCCTATTCTGGATATGTAGTATAAATGTGTGAGTTAGCGAGCGCACCTTATAAAGCTGCTGATGCACAAAAAGGAACCACAAAGCCTTTCTAGGAATATAACATAAAAATGGGGTGTGCAGCGCTATACAAATAAAACACACTGTCATAAATATAACAAAATATGACAAAAAGTAGAAAAGGTCCTATAAACTGAATGATAAGCAGTCCGAGGTAATATGATATCAGTCCAAATAGGTATATTCCAGTGATGGAGTATATATGACTTCAATCCAAATGGGTATATTCCAGCATCCTAACATGAAGGTGTAGAAAAATTGCCCACTCACCGGAAGTTTTAATTTAATGTGCACATAGAAATTCCATGTAGCCGGAGGTCCCGTGAAGGTACAGCCTGATGATAAAGGTATCCTCTGGTGGTTAATGGGGTGACGGCTGCCAGAGATGATGGTCTGGACCTATATCCCAAATCCTCCAACCTGGGTGGACTCCTAAAATGCTGGGCTGAGATGTGGAGGCTCAGTGCCAGGTAATATAGATGAAAACGCTCATGGTGTAGTATTGTGAAATGTATTTATTAGGGTATAAATCATTATGGTAAACAGTAAACGTACAGGGTGATAGTAACCTATACAAATATAGTGTGAATGAGCTCTTGAATGCACTGACCAGTGGATAAAAATGATGGCCACCGGACCTCCTGATCCTCCTGATCCGGTGGCGTGACATCAAGGCGTGCAGAGGCTCCTCCTAGACGTGCTTCGTGTAATAACACGTCTCCTGTGGGGGTGATGCCATGGATATGAAATATACAGAAAATACAATAGACAATTGGGCTGTGCATGGCAGTAAATGATTCATGATAGTGAGATCAAGGGGGTCAAAAAGGATAGAAGTTTCAGTTCAACATGAGCTATGGTAGCTGGTTCCTTCTCTCAGTCTCTAAGATGGAGTCTGAGTCCCAGAATGTACCTTTCTTCCTTTTCTTAGGATTATGAATGATGGGAATTTTCATTAAAGCTGAATAGCTTCTAGTTTCTGCGAAACTGTAAATGTATCACTGGCTCCATTTTATGGTTAAATCTGGTATGGCAGGTAAAACTTATGGATATCCTGCTGGATTCGGAACATTTCCCACCTGGTATCAAGTTACTGCTATTTGGGTCCTTAGGAGAAAACAGTAAGAACAGATAAGAAACTGGTCTAAGGAACACCTTTGCTTTCTTGTTCCTGTGAACTTTAACCTTTCTGACTCTCCCATCCTCACTTGGAAGAGTTTTGGTAACAAGACCTAGAGGCCACTCATTTCTTGGGGACTGACAATCCTTCACAAGAACAACATTGCCCTCCTTTAGATTAGGTTTGTTCTCCTGCCACTTTTTCCATGGTTGCAAAGTGGAGATGTACTATTTCTTCCACTTGTCCCAAAAGGTGTCTTCAAGGCTTTGGACTTGGCTCCACTGGCTCAAATACAAGTTTTTAGGGTTGAAGTTTCCAGGAGGAGCACTGACTACTCCGGTTTTATGGGTTAGGAGTGTTGCTGGAGCAGGAAAAATAGGGTCTTCCAGGTCATTTGGGATTGGAGCTAGAGGTCTGACATTGATGATGGCTGAGACCTCTCCCATGAAAATTGTGAGACTCTTGTGAGTAAGTCTTGCAGTTCTAACTTGTAGAAAGATGAAATCAAGTATTCTGCGAGCTATGCCAATCGTTCATTCCCAGTCTCCTTCCATTTGTGAGGTTGAAAGTCCTTGTATAGCCCTGATAATTAAGATACCTCTCCACTCCTTTGGCATCAATGTTTGAGTTTGAATAAATGTTCAGTTCTTTGCCCCAACAAAATGAGTGCCTCTGTCTGAACAGATGTGTTCCACAGGGCCTCGAATAGCAATGAAACATCTAAGAGCATTTATAAAAGTGGAAGTGTCCATTTCTGATACATTAAGTTCAACTAGCTCAATAGCTAATACTGCAGCACAAAGTTCTAGTCTACGTGTGGTGTGCTCAGGGTGTGGAGTCAGTTTTGCTTTGCCCATGACAAATCCTTTGTGGTGCTGTGCTGTATCATCTATAATCTTTAAGTAGGCAAAAGCAGCTATTGCTTTGAAAGAAAATAAGAAAAGTTTTGGGCTTTGTACTTCTGTAGAGGGTACAGGAGCATGTGGACATGAACCTTGCAGGTCAGATAAATCTGTCAGAGAACTTGTCCACTCTACCCAAGAGTTTCTTTTCTAAAGGAGCAGTGTGGCATCCCAGTCAGATGTTTCATGGGTTAAATCTCTAAGCAGGGCTTTACCTTGAATGGTGACAGGGGCAGCAAATCCTAATGGATCATACAGGCCATTAATCGTGCACAAGACGCCTCTACAAGTGAGAGGTTTTTCCTCTGTGCTTATTTGGAAGGTAAAGGAATCTGATTTCAAGTCCCATAGCAGACAAAGACTGCATTGTACAGGTAAAGAGTCCGTCTCTAGGTCTAAGATCATCAGAGTGGTCTTGGGAAGGGAAAGCTTCCATTACTTCTCTACTGTTGGAAGAAATCTTGTGAAGCCCGAGGTTGGAGCAGGCTAACATTTGCTGTGCTCTTTTTAGGAGACTAATTGAAGACTCATAGATAGATATTTTCAACAGTTATCTACATACAGGTCCTTTTCTATGAATTGTCTGGCATCTGTGCCATACTTGGGCACTCCCTCCTGAGCAGAACATCTAAGTCCATAGATAACAGCAGGACAAGGGCTGTTGCCAAAGATGTTACTCTCATACAGTACT